GTGTGTTGGAGACAATGAGATTGGCACAGGACAGAGCAGAGTTTAGAGCTGCTGTACATAGGGTCACGATGAGTCACAAGCGACTTGATGGCACATAACAGCACCACCACACATAACCTGCAGTGTCTTATTGTTGTATATTTTTTTGTGTTAAATTCTACGATTACTGTTAAAACATATCATTGTCAGTACTGTTGTTATGTTTTAGTTTAAGTCAAGTATGACTCATAGCAACTCTATAAACAACACACCTGAACCCTGTCCTATCCTGTGGCATCCTCATCATCTCTTGACACACATGAACCCATTGCTGCAGTAACTGTCAATCTGTCTCATTGGGGTTCTTCCTTTCTTTCGCTGATCCTTCATCTTTCCAAGCATGATGTCCCTTTCCAAAGACCAGCCTCTCCCAGCAACGCCTTCATAGTATGAGAGATAAACTTCATCATCTTTGCCACCAAGGAGCACTTTGCTGCACCCTTTCCAAGACATGTCTGTTTGTTCTTTTGGCAGTCCGTGAGATATTTGGTACTCTTCTCCAACACCACAACTCAAAGGCATGAATTCTTCTTCTGTCATCCTTATTCACTGTCCAGCTCTAAGAAGCATAGGAACTGATTGAAAAGACCATGACCAAAATCAAGTGCATCTTAGTCTTCAAACTGAAGTCATTGCTCTTAAGCATTTAATTTGTCAGTACTAGATCCTGGCAGTACCAATCATTGAGACCCCATGTGTGTCAGTGTGGAACTGTGCACTGTAGTGCTTCCAATGACTGATTTTTCACAATGAGAGTACTAGACCATTCTTTCAAGTTGCCTCTCACTGGACTGGAACCTCTAACTGTTCAGTTCACAACCAAGTACATTAACTATTTGCACCATTCAGGGATGCAAGTATACTGAAAAATGTTTTATTTCTCACCTCTCCTTCAGATGATTTAGAAACTTACATGTCATAGAATTTTAATGATTTTACAATTTAACTATTAGTGAGAATGTCTCCTATTTTAGTAATTAAGGGAAAAATACTTTTTAGAATGTTTCCATTTCTATTTTCTTAATAGGTGAGAGACTTTAAAAAAAAGGAGTCTATGGTTATTGGTGGTGGTGATAATAAATTTAATTTTTCTTTTGTCCCAAGGCTCCTAAATAATAAACTTAAAAAATATTGATTGAAATGAAGTGAAATTTTATGCCTCTGTCTTATTAGGGTCATTCATGAATTTCTTTTGAACTGAGCAAACAACTAAGAGCACTTACATTATTTATGCTTTTATTCTACAATGGATCAGAATACTGATATTAAAGTTCAGTATAAATTCTGACTTTGCTGGTGGCAATGAATATTGTGAAAATTTTTGACATGACATTTAAATTCCAAAATAAAAATCCATACTTTACCTGATTTCTGATTATAAAAGCAATATTAAGTGGAGCACTCAATATATCAGTACTTCAAAGCTATTTATTAAATAGCCCTATTTGGCATCCTCATTATCACTGTTGGAGCTATTGCTATCTTCATAAATAGAAGTGTTTCTAATTGAAGATACCATCACATCTACAATGCCTTTTTTGGGGTTTTCTTCCAAATCAGTCTGTATTGCTCCAACTTCTGCTAGCTTCCATTCAAGTTCTGCAAGAAATAACCAAGTATTAACACAGATAGAAATACCAGAAGTGGGAAAGGATAATATCACGTCTGTGTGAAACTGAAATAAACTAGTAAAATTAATAGTGGAAATGATGACATATTTAGAACTGGATGGCAAAGTATCCCATAACAAAATACCCACTGGATATAACCAAACTTAAAGTGGGAAATTATGGTTAAAATTATTTGAAAATGACTGAACTTAAGTGATTTGAAAGTCCTGGTCAAGAAGCTTGGAAAAGAAGACAGAAGGAAGGCTATAATGAAGACTTTAGTGAAAATAAAATATGAAAATCAGTAGGAATGACCAAACAAAACCAACAGCTGGCTTTTTGAAGAAACTAACAGGCACATGTCAGACAAAAGTAACCACAAGTTAAAGAAAGCAAGCAATCCACATTAAAAAAAATGCCATTCTACCCTCATGAAAATGAAATACTTTTGTTAATAAAAGAATTCTATAAAGGAAAAAAACACCCCCACAACCTACATATTGACTATTGTAGTGGAGTTATGTGCTGCTGAGTAGGAAATAACTTACAGGTGACTCTCCAGTGGTTTTTCTGAGGCAGTAAATGGCACAGGAAGAGATTACTTATCTTTCTTCCATGGAGCAATGGATCTGAATCACATGCCTTTCATTTGGTAGCACAAGTCCTTCCCCACTAGGCTACCAGAGATCCCTTCTTACAGATGAGGAGAATATTTGTGGGAAAAATATATCTACTAAGAGTCCAATATGTATAACATTTCTACAACCCAAGAACTAATTTTACACCACAGAGGATTTCTAATGTACAACAAACACACAAAATACAAATTCAAACCACAGTGGGTATTTTGTATAATAAAATGTTGTTGTTGTTATGTGCCACAGACTTCATATAAGATACAAAAGTAAATCCCAATGTTACTCAAGATCAAAATGGAAAACAAAACTTTAGAGCTATTAAAAGTACAAGTATTATTTCCACCTTATGAATAGAGAAAGGTTTTTAAGGAGCATGAAAATACAAAATAAATTAGAAGATTAGAAACTTCACTATGTCACTATTATAACTTTTGTCTGATAAAATGAAATGCTAAATTATAGCAGTTAAGGATATATTAGAAATACATATAAGATTGTTGTTGTTGTTATGTGCCGTCGAGTCACCTGTAACTCATCGCCATCCTGTGTATGACATCCCTAACCCCTGCTCTATCCTGTGCCAATCTCACTGTCTCCCACATACCTACCCTGATTACGCCAATGAATAATCCACCTCATAAAGAGTCTTCCTCTCTTGCACTGTACCTCCACCCTCCCAAGCATGACGTCCCTCTCCAATGACTGGTCCCTCCTTGCAACATGTCCAAAGTATGTCAGATGAAGCCTCAGAATCCTTGCTTCCGAGGATTTTTTAGCAGTCCGTGGTATATTCATTACTCTCCTCCAACACCACAGCTCAAAGGCATCAATTCTCTTTCTATCCTCTCTAGTCATTGTCCAGCTCTCTGGCACATAGCAAGAGATTACAAAGACCATGGCCTGTATCAGGTGCACCTTAGTCTCAAGAGTGACACCATTGATTTTCAGTACTTTGGAGAGATCCCTAATAGCAGACTTTCCCATCACAATATGTCTTTTCATTTTCTAATTAATACATCTAAGACTAGTATCCAGAATATTTTTAACATGTACACTATCCAATGAATCAATAAAAGCAATACAATTGAAAATGGGCAAAGCATACGAGTAATTAATAAAGAAAATAAGAATGACTGAGCTCTGGTGGCCTAGAGGCAAGAAGTTGTGTTACAATCCCAAAGGCATGTCATTTGAGGCCACCAGCTGCTCCACAGGAGAAAGATGGGCAATCTCCTCCTATGCAATTAACCACCTCTGAAAATGCACTGCAGGGTCAGCTATGGTTTGGTGCTGACTCGATGGTACAAAAAAACAACACAGTACATATGTAGGGGACTCCGGTGGCCTAGTATTAAAAAGCTGCACTGCAATCTCAAAAGTACAGGGTTCAAATCCGCCAGTGACTCCATGGAAGAGGGATAGGCAATCTCCTGCCACATGATTTACTGCCTCTGAAAACTCACTGGAGGGTGAATTATGAGCAGGTTCCAACTCAACACACAACAACACCAACAGTACATATGAAGGAAGCTCCAGTAGTATATTCGCTCTTCCAGAGAAAGATGGGCAATTTTCTCCAGTGCAATTTATAGTTTCAAAAACTTGCTGGAGGGTCAGTTATGAGTCCATTCCAACTTGACTGTGATGAATGAATGAGTATATATGAAAAATGCTTAATCCACTTGTAATCAGTGAGATGCAAACTTAAACAACAAGAAACTATCTCAACATCCCCTGCTCATCTTGTTGTTAAGTGTCATTGAGTCAACTCCAACTTATAGCAAATGTCTTTTTTAAAAAAAACACCAGATCAGAACCTTGATCAGCCTTGCACCATCCTCACAGAGGCCATTGTGCTTAAGCCCATTGTTGCAGTCAATATGTCACTCCATCTTGGTGAGGGTATTTCTCTCCTCTGACTCTGCCTTTCCAAGCGTGATGTCTCATTTCACAAGTGGCTCCTCCTGATAAGATGCTCCAAATATGTGAGGCAAAGTCATATCTTCCTTGCCTCTAAAGAGCACACTACTTATAGGAAGGACACATTTATATTCGTATTTACACAGCAACGCATTATACTGGTTTGATGCATTCTAAGCCATGGTGCAAACTGCAAGGCCAGTGGTGTGAATACACCAGCTGTTTCATGGCAACAAGATGGGCAATCTCTTTCCATAAATATTTACAGCCTTGCATATCCGACATTGTTTTGTTGTTAAGTGCCATCTAGTCACTTCTGACTCATAGCAACCCTATGTCCTACAAAAGTTCTGAACCCTGCTCTATCCTGAGCCAATTTCATTGTCTCTGACACACTTCCATTACACCAGTCTCTGAGTCAATCCATTTCATCCAGGGTCTTCCTCTCTGTGCTGTCCCTTCACCCTCTCAAGCATGATGTCCCTTTGCAACATGACCAAAGTATATCAGATGGAGCTCCAGAATCCTTACCTCCAAGGAGCAGCCTGGTCTTACCCTCTCTAGGACAAGCAGTCCATGGTATATTCAGTACTCTTTTTCAGCACTACAGCTCAAAGTTGTCAATTCTTTTATCACCTCTAATAATTGTCTACCTTTCTGATGCATAGCAAGTAACTGCAAAGACCATGGCCTGGATGAGAAGCACCTTAGTCTCAAGATTGGCATTGTTGCTCTTGAGAGGTCCTTGACAGCAGACATTCTCAATGCAATTTGATTTCCTGGATGCTAGTACCAAGAGTGCTGATTTTAGAGCCAAGCAAATAGAAACTTAACAATCTCAATCTCTTCACTTTCTATCATGATGCTGCCAACCAGCCCAGTGGTGAAAATCTTTGTTTTCTTGATGTTGAGCTTCAATCCATATTGAATGCCTCAGGTCCTCCTCAGTTTGAGCAAGCAAGATTGTGTCATCTGTGTAATGCAAGCTGTTGATGAGTCTTCTTCCTATCCTGATGCCACATTAGTCCTCAAAACCAATGAATAGTCACTGTGAGTCGGAATAAATTCAAAATCAAAAGGTTTTATTCCTAGAACAATTTGAAATAGCTAATAAGATTGAAAGGGAGTTCTGATGGCCTACTGGTAGAGAGTTGCACTGCCAACCCCAAGACAGGTGGTTCAAATCCATCAGTGGCTCCATGGGAGAAAGGGCACTGTCCTCCTGTTCATGACTGGCATGTGGGCCATCAGTCCATTTTGATTCAACAGTAATGAGTAAACAGTAATGAAATTGAAAATGTATAACCCTACAATTTCCTATATATTATCAAAAAGTTCTCACATGTGGACCCAGGAGGTTCAGAGTAAAATGTGAAAATAAGAAATTAATTACTGCAGCAGGTGAATGGTTAACCAACTGGAGCATATTTGCTGAGAAAATGCTAGACAGAATGATTCAACCAGTAGAACTTGAAAACAATATTGTGGAGTTAAAGAGAAAGCTGTAGAATAATACAATAACATCTCATTTATTGAATATTCATAATACAAATTATATATATATATATATTGAATTGGAAGTAGACTCATCAACAATCTGCATTATGCAGACGACACAAGCCTGCTTGCTGAAACTGAGGAGGACCTTAAGCACCTGCTGCAGAAGGTCAAGGACAGCAGCGTTCAATATGGATTGAAGCACAACATCAAGAAAACAAAGATTCTCACCGCTGGGCCAATTGGCAGCATCATGATGGTTGGTGTAGAGTGAGACTGTTAACAGTTTCAGTTTGTTTGGCTCTATAAGTAACACGTTTGGTACCAGAAAAAAAAAAGATGAATTGTATTGGGAATGTCTGCTGTCAGGGACCTCTCCAGAGTACTGAAGAGCAATGACATCAGGCTGGAGACTAAGGTGCATCTGATACAGGCCATGGTCTTTGCAATTACTTGCTATACATCAGAAAGCTGGACAATGACTAGGGATGATAGAAGGAGAATTTATGCCTTTGAGCTGTGATGTTGGAGAAGAGTATTGAATATACCATGGATTGCTAGGAAAACAAACATGTTTGTCCTGGAGAGGGTGAAGCCAGTCTGCTCCTTGGAGGCAAGGATTCTGAAGCTTTGTCAGACATACTTTGGACATGCTGCAAGGAGATACCAGTCCTTGGAGAGGGATATCATGCTTGAGAGGGTGAAAGGACAATGCAGGAGAGGAAGACCCTCTATGATGTAGATTGATTCAGTGACTGGGGTAATAGGGATAGGTATATCGCAGACAATAAGATTCGCATGTGACAGAGCAGGGTTTATGGCTGTTGTACATAGGGTTGCTATGAGTCGTAGGCGACTCGATAGCACAAAACAACAACATTTTAAAACTTCTTTATATGTAGTTGGAGCATAACAGAATGCACTGGAAGCACATTAAATTAATGATCATAATGCCTCCAAAGAGGTGGGATAAGGATTAGAATTTGGATTGAAAATATAAATCACTTCTGGAGGAGAGCCAAGTGTCCAAGTGACTGGAAAAGATTGACATTTGTTTTCATTCCAAAGAAAGGTGACCCGACAGAAAGCATAAATTATCGAACAACATCATTTATATCACATGCAAGCAAGGTTCTGCTGAAATTTATCCAAAAGTCAACAGAGAACTGCCAGATGTGCAGGCTTGTTTTAGAAGAGGCCATACGTCTTACTAGAGATATTATAGCTAATGTCAGATGGATCTTGGAAGAAAGCAGAGAGTACCAGAGAAAGGCTTTTGACTGTGTGGATTACAAGCTGTGACTGACTTTGAGAAGAATGGTAATCCCAGAATATTTGATTGTGCTTATGTGAAACCTATACTTGAATCAAGAGGCAGTCATCAGAACAGAGCAAGGAGACACTGCATCTTTCAAAAACAGGAAGGGTGCCC